AATACTAGTCACGTGGCACATCCCAGTCTACCAGCAACCATGAACATATTCAGTGAGAAATGTATGCTCTCCATATACTGTACAAACGAAACTCTTCCTTGCACCCATCCATTTGTTCCAGTTAAATTTAGAAGCGGTTTGTATCTTGCCAATGCAGTATCCATTATGTGTGAATGAATGTGGTATGTGACTCGGATGCCAGTTGGAAAATAACCACTGCTCGTGGCTTTATGAGGTCGGTTAAAACTCACAACTTTGCGTGGGAATTGAAACACGTATAATTTTTCCACGAATGTTTCAGTTGCGTTAATGTGGATAAACACATAAATTGTATACATAATATAATAAATACGAACATTTAAATTATTATCTTACATTCATTTGCCAATCCAATAGTGAATGGGAGCCAAACTATTCTATGTGATTGTGGGGTTTTGTTTAGCCATACTTGACCACACTGGTCGGTATGGGCCGCTGAAGAGAGGGGGTGACACCTAAGACCGGTGCATATATCACTCACCACTTATGCTAACTTTGGTCTCGAATTGCACTAAGGTTGCCAGGTTCATAAGGCCGTGTATTAACCGCTGTGCCACCAATTCCCCCCGTGCACATACAATATAATATGTAAACTTAATGACGTGCGCATGCAATCTTTAATGCTGCGCGTCGGGAGGGTAGTGTGCCCTATTCTGTCTTGTCACACAAAGCAATGAATGGGCCAGCTGCTTCCCCCTTTGTGCGATTGCTGTGGCTAAGATTTGTTTCCAGATTCTATTACCCTTCACATTTCTGCTCCATTGCCTATATACTATCTGACAAGCTGCCATGAGAAATCAAATAAGGTATTTGTTTTAAATTGCAAAGTAAATTAGCCAATTTTCTGAAATGCTCTTGTGTACGTGTCTTTCGGAAGTACTACAATACACAATAAACGTATTTTTTTTGGAGCGTGTACTACACTGTACAGTAAAGTTACATAGTATACATCGCCTGAAGACTACAGCAATATATTTCCACTGTTGAAAATGTATGAGTTTCATTCTATCTGACAATATATTTTTTATTCGAATACATTTTACATTTTATTTCCATGGTTGGTTGGTCATCCAGTGATAGTTAAAAAATAAATGTATTCTTTCATAATATGTGAATATTTTAGTAATGGCCCTCTGGTGTTGTGTTTCTAAAGCCCCTGTCAGTGAGGGCTTGCACTCATGTGAAATGCCCAACCGGCCGATGGCATTTGCTGAGCTGCATAGCACAGAACGCCATTTGTAGCTGCAGTTTATTTTAGAGCGGATGTCACTTTTAATTTGTTAAATGTTCAAATCCGTGCATTCCTTGGGGGGGTGAGTTTCCATCAATTTCTCTCTTCTGCACGACTTCTGGGCAGCGTGCTTCTTTACAGTTCTTAAATGGAGCGCTTCCCTGGCAAAATGTGAGGTTGTGTACGAACACGGCCACGATCCTACCGTTGTAGTGCTTGCATAACTGTGTGCCATCTTTTTTGCAAGCGATTCCCATTAAGAGACGATTCAGATTTACAAATTCATCAAAGTAGTAAAAATACCAACGTTGCTCTATTTTTTCTCGAAATGTTTACAAAATGATTTGTATTTGTTTTCTGGAAATTTTTGATAACGTCTTTAGTTATATGTATACAACTACACGACTGTGCCTTGTTGAGTCATGCCAATCTTTCTAAAATATCTGCTTCTTCAAGGTTTCTCATTGTCTCTGTGAACATTTTTATATGCTCGTTGACTCCCTTTATTTCACTCATCTTAAACTAGGACACCCACCAAAAAGTGGAGACTATTACTTTTCAGCAACACCATTTTTCATGTTTTCTGTGGTCTCACAGCTGGCGGCCCCTATGGAAGCATTTCATACAGCCTCAGCATTCTCTGTAGAACCCCAATTCTCATCAACCATCTACAGCTGGAAAGACCAACCTCCATTCCTCAGCTCTCCCCATTGGCTCTAATGTACAGATCCTGTGGCCCTCCTGTGATCTTCTCACAGTAAAGTTGCAAGTGTTGCCGAATGACATTTCTTCGTCCAAATAATTATGCGATTCGTATGTAATTAATTTTAAAGTGACGATATATAACAACAAAAAACCGTCAACGTGGCTTACAGTAGACGTAAGCATCAGACTGTTGTGAACTGAGTGGTCACATTCCTCAAGTGACCAGTTGGCTCCGAAATGTGAAAAGCACGGTGCGTAATCTATAGCAGATGGTGGACCAATTACCTCATGTGTTGGGGACATCTGGTCATCGAGGGAATATGACCACTTAGCTCATGATAGCACATTACTTTTGCAAAGCATAAAAAATATATGTTAAATGGCTGGCAATAAATGCTTCAGACAGCATCATAGTCAAGCCAGGAGTTGAGCCTATGGGGGCTATGAATCTTCCAATTCTCTGCAGTCTTCAAACATTGCTCTGTAACGATTTTTTACTGCGTTATCGTGTTGATGGTGAGGAAGATGGTAATAACGCAAATTGTACAAAAGCAGTCATGAATATACACACACTGGTACAAATATCCATGTGTTACACCATCAGAAATAATAGCTGAATATTGTTCTAAATTTGCTGTTAGAAATACAGTGCTGTACTTAGACTAATGTAAATAAACGTATACATTCATTGAGACGCATGAATTTGTGGGGGTAGTTTTCATTACATTACATGTGAATCGACAGTCACGAAGACCTAGCAGTTTTTTTTGAAAACCAGCCAAAATGTCAGCATGTCCGTTGATGTGTTATATTAAATAACATCGGCTTATACTATAGACGACGAAGGCAATTTTCTGTTTCACTTAATATAGTTTATTACAAACAAGTGTTATAATTTCATTAGTACACGGGTTTTCGCGTATTCTAAGGCTTAATTAACTCCAGCGTTATGTCAGGCTATTTGATTTGGAATGCAAAACCAAACGTGACTCGGTGACGTATGTCTTTGTTACAGCTCAACTCTCTTTATTGCTCCAGGGAGGAAAATGTGCCTGGCCTTTTTGAGGTAGATTGACACTGATTGTGTGGCATATATATATTTTTTAAAATATCTCCTGCAGTGATTTTATATTTCTCTCACTCGTAAACTAAGTAAAAAAATATATAAACAATCAAATAACATTTGTGAAAGGGTATCCTGTTCCTGTAGGTCCCATAGGAAGGAGGATAGGATTTGCATCTGTAAAGTATTGTATCCTTGGCATGCCTTTATTGTGTGTAAGAGGTAGTGTGGAGTTATTGTATACCGAATTGAAATATTTCAACACAAGTTAGAAATACAAATATTATTGATAAAAGTATTTTGTTATACCATAATACCATTATTTTACTTCGAAAGCACTAATACAGTATATACTGTATATTACAAGCTATTTTTGCCATTGAAAATAGTTTACTAATGTACTGTAAATTTAGAAAAAAATTTCAATAAACATAGCCATGTACATTATACATAGCGGATAGACCTCTTCATTGCCATCATCCATTATCTCGCCACGCCTTAATGAAGGCCTCGCCAAGTCATCGCCGTATCTCATGACCTTTTAGTGCAATAATTCGTGGAGCTCCTCCATGGTGAGAGCGTCTTCGCCGCTTTGGCTGTCAGTCCATATTTAGGTTCGACCAACAGCCATCATCCCTTCTCGCGACGCGTCCTCTTCCGGCATTAGAGAGGTATGTATATCAATTCTTCACAACGATCATCGGGAACAAAGTAATGGAACATTAAGAGGTCAACGAACCACGCAAACAAATAGGGGGGTTAGGAAATATTTCTCTACCACCAACCACAAAACAATATCAATCCGATTTTGTAAGAAAAAATTTTTAAACACCATTGGAATTATTTTTTTTAAACACCATTATACACAGGCTTTGTAGACTATGACAAAGCATATAACTCAGTGGAAATTGATTGCAATCATCCACTCTCTCACAAACCAAGAATAGACCTCTCTAGCCTGCATAATTAATAACAAAGTGACTTTAACTCTTCCACTTCCATGAACCACATGAATAGTTTGGTGAAGGGTGTCTAGCCCATCCATGCTGGCAGTTGTACCAAATCATGCAAACTGAATGTAGCACTGCTGTTTAACACATGGTTAGACATACGTACAGCATTTATATTTTTTTTATTAATGCTGGAAAACAGAAAAAGACATCTACTGCCTTTGTAATGGTGAAAATAATTACTTCAATATGTCTGGATTTAAAATGAACATCTGAAGAGCAACTGTAAACATATATAACCTAGATTATCATCTTTATAATAGTTATCATCATGTACAAGTTTACAATGGCATATGATACCTATGCTACTTGTGGTGTATGTAATTCAGTAATGAGTTAAGCTGATGACAAATTTCTATTAAAGTGGTGGCAATGGTGATTATGGTAGAGCAGTGGCACAGCGGTTTAGCGCATTTCACTATAAACCCAGGTTTAATTACTGGCCACGGCTAACATCACCGGCATGGTTAAGTATGGTCAAATAATTCCCATGACCAATACGGAGCGGGAAGGCCTTCATCACACAATAGCTTAACAAAGGGCTAAACACGCAGAACATTATTAATTATTGTATACTACTCAGCATTTTAATTCCAAACGCGACACTTACAAACCCAATATAAACAACACAGTTTAGATGCCGCACCACTGAGGTTCCATGAAAAGTGTGGGCAGACAGAGCGACAAATGAGCGACAAATGAAGCACCAAATGCCCCTTTTTTAATGGGAGATGTGGAAAAGAGCCTTGTTGTAGGCAGACTCCCTCTGAAAGTGCACATTGAGCTTTCTTGTGACGCGGGGTGTGCGGCGGGGGGTGGCTGAGTGGGTGGGTGAGTGGCTGGGTGGTTGGGTGGATGAGTGGGGAGGAGGGGAGGGAAGGGGAGAGGGAGGACCATGATGAATGGATGAATCCCGGGGAGCCCGCCCGCAGAGGGGTTGGCTCCGGTGCGGCCGGGCCCAGGCAAGCAGCTCGCAAACTGTGACATCCACTCCCCCCCCCCTCTCTTCTCTTTCACTCACACACATTCTCTCCCTCTCTCACTCAAGCGCACAGAAGTTAACGAAGTCCACGGCTAAAGTACAAGAGGAGCGCATGCAAAAGGATGTGCGCTTCACGCTCTGTGGCGTGAAGCGCGCGTCTTCTTCTTCTCTGAGAGGACGAGAGGAAGGAGGAGGAGGAGGTGTTTGGGGGCATCACCCACGGGCTCCGTGCTGCTGAGTGGTAAGGGACCCCCCCTCCCCCGTCCTGCCTTCCTCCCAGGACTCTGCCTGCGCTCTGTCCCCTTTGCACTTCACGTTCACCTGCGCCCCGACTCGCACGCGAACAAACCAAAAAAGCCCCATAACTCACCTGCTCTGTGTTGTTGTGATATGAAGAAGGGCCATTGCCCGAAACGTCACCTGTTGTGTTTTCTTCTTTAGGGCAGTCTCATTGATGAATGTGTTGAGTTTTATTTTTGTGTATAACATATGTTCCTTTGCAACGTATCGGTGTTATAATTCACACCTGTATATTGTCTTCACCTGGATGACACATACCTGTTCAACTCGTACACCCCCGTGCTGAAAGAATAATACACCTCACCTGTAAATATAACACACCTGTACAATCCTTGGGTGCAATAATGCTGCGTGATTGAACTGTGAAGGCTACGCGCCTTCAACTTTAAGCAATGTGTCATTGTTAAGACCTGGACGCAGACCTGCAAATACATGTTCTCTTGAGAATTGACCAATATAATGTCAATGATTTTCCGTTTTGCATAGAATTGTACTAGAGTATATTGGTGTTAGTGGTATATTGTGTTATGTACATTTGTATATGTACTTTGCAGTCACTTCGTTGTTAACAAAGTTAAAACACCGGCGGTAGACACTTCATCATGGAACAGATCATCTGCGTTGCTTGTTATCTTACGAGGTCCATATTCACTGTTAAACTCGAGTAGGCATAATACATAACGTAACTTATTCATGAATAATCTGAACTGCCTAGCTAGAGTTTGTAATTATATTGCAGAGGTGTTGCTAGCATATGTAAAATGATGACGGACAACTTAATTAACGCCCAAAGCTACGAATGAACAATTAAACCTTTACATGCCATTTACTGAGATGAACACAGTCTTAATGGAGCTTAATGCAGCATCGTTATGGATGACGCTAACATTCATCATTACTAATCGCTGCTTCATTCATTGTTATCGATCAAGCCATTATTCATATCTAGTCAGGTGGGGGGGATGTGGAGTGTTGTTGTGAGGTGACATGAGTAAGGACCATCAGGGCGAGGTGACTGGGTTAAAAGAGTGCCTTTCCTCTCCCCATTAACAACCCTTATGTTATATAATACAACATTAATAACAAGTTTCCGCCCATTGTCAATCAATAGCTAGACGAAGGCCTCTCCACGCCTTGCCCGGTCGTGTAGGTTGTTTGACCCTACTTCACCACGCTGGTCAAGACATGTTGGCTGTGGACTGGAATCGAACTCAGGTCACCGGAATGGATCATGAAGTGCGCTAACCGATAGGCCACTGCTCCCCAAGAGTGTAACTTTGATAAATTTTTGTATAATCTAAAACAATCCTAACAGTGCAATGGGTGGGTAGTGGATATGGCATGTGTAGCTGTGTAGTCCACATACAGAGCATTAGTAAATCACTCTGCTTGTTCAACACCGGTGCCACAAAAAGGCTCAGGCGAGATTTGCTAATGCAGCAGAAGTCGGCACCACCGTATGACGTGTAAATGTTAACCCCTTCATTTAACATCAGCTTAGGTTTGACGCTTTATGGAGATGGCTGCCATATAGTGGTCATGTCTTTTGAGAAAATGCACTTGCACCGACTGTCTAAAAGGGCAAAGTAAGCAATGCTTCCTCTGCCATTGTATTTTTGCTCATTGCATCATCATGGTGTTTCTGATACCGTAGTTAGGGCCTTGCCTTGAGAGTGTGTACAAAGGTTGGGTCGTATACCTAAGCATACTTACTCACATATATTTGATTTCATGTAGTCAAGGTATTACCACAACATTCATGGAAACGGGTATTTTGTTTGGTTAAGTAAGCCATATGAACTACTTTTATTATACAGTAACAAAATATTTACTATATTTGTTCAAAGTAAAACATATATTTCTGTATTAGGGATAAGGCTTTTATTCGGCACTTAAACGCAAACATGTATTTTGAAGGACGCTTTTTTTGTTACTCAGTCACGATTAGAGTCCAGTATAATGCATGCACATTTTTGTCAATTGACAGGTCACGTGTGATGGGGCAAATTGTGGGTACTTGCACCTGTTCCAGGATTTCTGGGCAGCATTGAAGAGGACAAAATATCCCCTGGATGGCATGAGCAAGCAATTTCTGACTACACAAGCTTTCTTTTTTTCCATCATGTACATGCAGTATTGTAGTGTGATGTTGGAGATGTGGAAATATGTGCTGGGGGTAATGAATAGGCCCATAAATGATCATAAATAATGAGAATTTTACGGTACTGTAATGCTTTTTTTGTCATGTCAAAAATGTCACATCTCATTACTTCAACTTCACTTGTACAAAAGAGCCATTTTATAAGCTTACAAATCAAAGGGCAAATGTTCAAAGATCACAAACAAACAACCCACCTTCTAACGAATATTTATCAGCAATATCAGTAGTAGTTTTTACCACGATTCTATTGGATAGGAAATGGCCTTACATATGACGTAAATGTGAAAGCTTTAAAATAAATAACCAAGGTGACAGGAAATTATTGACTTCTAAACAACCGTCTTACGTATTGTAGTGAAATACAGTATGCATTAAATTTGTTTTATAGTATTAAAAGTGTTATTACAGCACTTTATTTACCGTACAATAGAGGCTTAGCTAAATTAACTAACTTAAATTTCAGAATTGCCCAGTAGAGGTCTCTTTATTTCTCTGATAACTGCAGCACAGTACTGCATACCTCTGCAAGAAAGAAAAAAAACGTGTAAAAACTATTTAGTTGATATTTTTATTAATTTTATTGTACGTTTTTCTATCACAACGACAGCAATTGTTGCAAATTGGAGCTTAAATAGAACTGATTCCAATAGTATATGTTTGCAACTAGTTTGCAGACAAACACACGTGTCACTGTTGCGTAACTCAGACATGGAATCTAGACATGAAATGAAATATATGCATCGTCCATCAATGACTAAATGCTGATCGGTAGCGTGCACGCCATTCAATACTGAGCTCTTGCGTGTTTGTGGTTTGCAGTGTTGGATCCCCTCAAGTTTGCATTTAAGTTTCATATCTGATTTTTCACGACAGTTTGCGTTTGGCAAAGCAACAAAAGAAAGCTTGTTTTATGTTGGGGATAGCTAATAACCCCCGTTGCTTTTCTAACATGGTACCCTCATTACCCACGAGTTTTCTGCATCATATACGACATGGAGAGGTCAGATCCAGAGGGTCTCTTGTGTTGCGTCTGTAAAGCAACAAAGGAAACGAGCTTCTGAGTTCAAACAAAGTTTTTCCTGTTGCTATGGTGTTCAACAAATGGCACTGTCATTACAAAAACTTACAATGATCATTAAATACGATGCCCCAGTAGAGATTCAATCTATGATATATGGAACCAGGCTGGCCTGTAAAATGTATACCATATATTATATCAGCAAAGGACGGTCACCAGGGGAGATATTTGTTGGAAAGTGTGCGTGTGTTGGGAGAAGAGAGGCTTCACTATCATACATCTCGGCACGAACGTGGCAAATTCTGGCATGTGCTAGATCACTTTTATCATAAGCTGGAATGCTGCTTTTGACATATATAGTATTTCCTGGGAGTTACTCAGTTTGGGCATAGAGTACTTAATTTAGAGGCTGTGACTATTCTTTAAAATACTCCAACGGAACAAAAGACGGGTGGGTACTCACATGGGTAAGAAAGTCTACTTCGTTCAAAACGCAAGCGATATGTTTTTGTTGTGTCTTGGCGTTTATTACCAGAGAGTTTGCATACATTTCAAAACGCTCACTTACCTCTGCAAGGGAATGATGAAGCACAATGAACAGGCTCATTGGAAGTACAGCACATGTTAGAACCAGCTTACAATGTACATTGTCTATGAAAATCGGCTATGGTAGCGTTATTTATTGACACCATCATCACATATATCGCTCGTGCCAAGCTGTGATTGGGGTCAACTTTAATGTATTAACATTTTTTACCGAATCAAGTTCAACATGACTTAAAGCTTTCGTGACTGCAGGAATTCATATTCTTTGGGTCTTTCGATACAGTCTCGTAGATAAAAAACATATTAACAATAAAATAATGCAAATGAAAATAAAGTGAATAAATATATATTTTTTAAATATCACTATTTTTTTATTCACTTGATTTTCATTTTATTTTATTGTTATTTTTTTTCTATCTACGTGACTTTACTGAAAAACCCAAAGAATACAAGTTCAACATGTTGCACTCCTGTTGCCCTGGTGATCCAACCACTTCATGATGTTTTCCATCTTGACCATCATCTTACCATCATCATACCAGTGATGGTCAAGTTTACCAGTTAATGCTGTTTCATCTTCGGTGCCTTCAAAGTTGCTACAACGTTCATAAGTCGACAAGGTCGTAAAAAAATACTCATTTTGCATTCTCTCAACCCATGTGATGTTCAGCAATCTCCTTAAATAATCACGATTCTACACCAGCCAACTTCCGTTCTATCTGTCTGCCAATTATCCAGGCTTCACGGCTGTATAGCAATGTCGATCACAAGTAACATATCACCATTCTCACCATAGTCTCCATCATTATCTTCCTATTGGTCAGTGGGTGATTCATGTTTTAAAAAAATCCAGTCTTTGTCAAGGGTATCCCATTCTATTTCTTCCTTGCATCTTTCATCTCTGGTCACTGTGCATCAAAGATAAATTAACATAGTGAATTGCTTATGTATACTTGTATTGTTTTATAATTGCACAACCTCCTCAACCAAAGTGGGCATTTCTTTTGATGATAATTATGTATAGTTGGCGTGAATTATCTATATGAAACGCCATTATCTGTCAGTTAAATCACCTTTCAGCAAAAGTGTGTCTCTTACTCACAATATGGATACGTAAATGAACAAAAGTGAGCAATGTCCTGATTGCATTAGCGATATAAAACATAATGCAGCAGAATGTCAAGTAACCCCGGCCCTTCTTTTGAAATACAGATGA